GACGGACGCGCAGCGTTACGTGGCCGCGTGCCCGATCTGCAAGCGAATGAAGTCATCACACCAGCGACCTACAGGATTGTTGCAGCCCCTCGAGCCACCTCAACGCCCATGGCAACATGTAACGATGGATTTCGTTACAGGACTACCGGCCGGGCCCAGCGGAAACGACGCGGTTTTGGTTGTCGTCGACCGATTGACGAAAATGGCGCATTTCGCACCATGTCGTACAACCATCACAGCCGAAGAAACAGCGCGCCTGTTCATCTCGACCGTTGTTCGCCTACACGGGATACCAGTAGCAATCATTAGCGATCGAGATCCGAAGTTCACGTCAAAATTCTGGCAGGACACGTGGGCTTGGTACGTCACGCGTCTACAGTTCTCATCCGCTTATCATCCTCAAACGGACGGCGAGACGGAAAGGAAGAATCAAACGATGGAGCAGCTGATTCGGACAAACTGCCCCAACCGAAAAAATTGGAGGACGTGCTGCCCATGTTGGAATTTTCCTACAACAACGCGCCCTCGGCTATGACTAATCACTCCCTGTTTTATCTCAATTCCTGGATGGACCCTACAGTACCAGTCTCGACCAACGTTGAGAGTCAAGTACCACGATCGCAGCGGTTCGTTGAAGAATTACAGACTGCCCGAGACAAAGCTGTCGAACTTATTCGCAAAGCGAACGCAACTGCCCGACGGTATGCGGATTTACATCGACGGGATATTATCATGACAGCAGGGCAACTAGTCCTGTTGGACACGAAGAATTTACGACTGCCACTACCGACGAAATTACGACCACGTTTCTGTGGTCCATTCAAGATTATGAAGATGGTGACGCCGGTGACCGCCCAGTTACGCCTACCTGATGACTGGCGAATTCACAACAAATTCCACGTGATTCTGTTGCGCCCTTTCGTACCTGACCTGACACATCGGACATCGCCCGACAGCGATTGGTTCCAGATGTACGCCCGCCAGCCGAGACGACCATCGAGCCTTCGAAGGTTTTGAGCCTTGGATTCGTATCGACGGCCAAGGACGACACCAGGGCCTCAGATAGGATTTTAGGCATCCTGACTCATCAGGGCGGGACCCCAAAAAAACGTGTAGCAGTCAGGGTTGGTGGCGTATGTTCATACTGATTCCTCAGGGTGGTTTTCCAGTTCTATACTTAGGCCCCAGGGTAAATTCTGAAACACTTGAAATCTTGCGAAGTCACTTTGAACAGCACCAGCAGCACACTTGGCTTCACGCGTGGCGATGGGTTGAGACTTGGCCATGACTGGCCGAGTTTGCGTCAACTGTAGCGCACGGGGCAATCAGACCAATAATTTTTCTTGGTCTGATTGTCAGGCAGAATTTTGTTGAGAACGAATGGGCGTTCAATTGAAAATGAATGCAGCCCCTAAAAATTCCGATGAAGTCAAAGGCAAGAAACGAAAAGTTGCGTGAAAAAACTGCAGTTAGATTTCCATCGAGCGGTTATGACGGTCAGTTTGACGAGGTTGGGTGGTGGTGAGGGCGTATTCCTCACATGTGGCACACTCTATGGCAAGTTCTTCTGCTTCCCAATTCAACGTGCAGAATCATCTGAATTTGTTTCTGGTAATCTTGACCGTGGAAAACTCATAAAAGCTAGTCACAAAGTACAAACGTGAGGAATAATCCCTGAGTTGCAGTACTTTACGAGATTTTTATTCGACGTAACCTGGGCATCACGAATACTATGAGGAATAAGTAGGAATTTCAGGGCTGCATAGAAGTTGTAGAAGGATGTCTCTGGTAGGGAGAACTTAGCCGAAAAGTTTTAGTGGATGGGGGGTGGGGCGAGGGAAGGATTGTCTCTAGCATTGAGGACTAAGCAAAAAAATCAGATTAGCGAAGACTTTTTGGAGGACTGTCTCTAGCATTCAAGACTTCGCCAAAATTTTAGAGCAGCGGGGGGGTTTCCGAGGATTGTCTCTAACTTTCAGGACTTAGCCAAAAATTTGGAGAAGCGGGGGGTTTCGGAGGATTGTTGCTAACTTTGAGGACTTAGCCGAAATGTTTGATTTGAGGCAAGGGCTACCCTAGTGGCGCACGTGCACTCAAGATTCGAGAAATCAGGGTTATCCCCGAAGGCATACTGACAGCTCAGGGCTGGTACACTAACACTTTACTGAATCCTCAGGGTTGCACTATGACTAAAAACTGAATTGACAGGGTAAAAAATGAGCTTAAACGGATTTTTCAGGTTTGGCACCTAACAGGCATCCTGAAAATCAGGAATTCAGGATAAAACATCATGATATCTGAGGCCCTGGACGACACGTTGACTTTCAAATACGATGGACCAATCGTACCAGTAAGGACGACACGTGGGTGCCCTCGGACCAGATACAGTCACCTTCGATACTTGCGCATTATTTGGCCCGCAAGCGCGTGGCTTATTTAGATCACCTTCGCTAGGAGGGGGGGGGGGGGGGGGGGGGGGGGGGGGGGGGGGGGTGGGGGGTGGGTGGTGTAAGGAATTTTCCATTCCTTACCGAGCGGTACTGCTACCGCGTACGCTCGAACACACCCGAAGCTTCGGGACTGTTCCATACCTTTTTGACATAACCGCCCCGGCTTCTCCAGACCTTCCAGTTCGACCTTCGGGGGTCCTCCGGGCCTCGCTTCGTCACTTCGAGACCCTTCGATATCTTTCCCGAACCTTACCATCGCATGGCTAGACTAGCTCTGGTGTTCCTATATCTTGGCTTGCCATTCCTTGTATCGTCATTCAGTGATTGAACATCTCGTTATTCATTTCCGCTCTACTCTACTTGTTCATTCATAACACTGGTTGTTCATTCATAACACCCAGCCAACATGACCAGCAAAACCGCTGGCCCAGGCAGACGGACGGACAGACAAAATGCCGTCAAACCGCCTGCCAGCCCGACGAGCAGGCAGAACGCCGTCAGCTAGGCCCGTTGACATTGTCGAAGGTCAACGTCCACTCTCAAGGTTTGGTGGAGATAGAACCAGGGCCTGTCTTGAGAGCGGGTTCAAAGTAAACCGATGCGTGCCAGTATTCCGCAACTCGTATTGGGCTAGACATCGGCCATTTTACGCGGGCACAAGAATTAGTCCGTTGCCCTAAAAAATGTTTTGCCACCACTCATTATGTTTTGCCCTCAAAACCGGTTTTACCTTTTGCGACCCTCGCCATCTTCGTGATTTTGTTTTCAAATATGAATCATCCGAGAGTGGCGAAGGAGTTCCAGGGGTACTGGAATGTTTTCGTTGCACGCCCTTTTCTCTGACGTGGGACAGCGAGCTTAGAGTGTCGATTGAAATATGGCCAATGTCGTGATCTTTATATGTTTTGACGTCGGAAAATGCAGGCGTAGGATTATTTTCCTCCTAAGTCAGCTACTGTAAGCACGGTATAAGTTGAACAATTCCCTTCAGCAGGGATGTGAAGCAGTGGAGCCTTCTCTCCCGTCAGGTTGCCGATTTTCTGTCGCTTCATTCCATTTTCGCCATGAAGCGGAACGTTGACGTTGGACAATGTCAACCAGTTAGTCTGACAAGCAGCATCCCATTCGTCGGGGGTGCAAACCTACCCGACTAGTTTCCCGTCAAGTTGTCCATTTCGTCTCGATCTCCGTTAGAATTGAACGAATGTCTCACTGTTCAAGGCGTACTATTCGAATCAGGTGAAGCCAAGGGCATTCCCGAGAGTTATGAAACAACCCCAAGGTTTGATCACTAGGTGCTGCTGCTGCTTCTGCTCCAATTCAAATTTCCCACCTTCCACCCAGGGCTTTCGATGTGTTTAGGGGCACCCAGCCAGATACGAGCGGGAGCGGAGCTTCACCCTGGCACTGCAGGGTGAGGGTCCGCTTCTTGTCAAGAATGCAGGGTAGAATGAAATCCCAGTTGATCATGACGACTGGGGAGTAGAGAGTTTGAGCTCCCCGTGCTTGACCCTGTATGTACTCGAACTTCAACGGTTTTAGGCTATCTAGCGCCTCGTGTTACGATTTCGACCGACGAATTAGCGAAAAGTTAGCTAGATTAGCCGAAATCTTGCTAGCAAACTGTGGAAAGCACAGGGTGTTCGGGACACAAAAGTCGTATTTTGCCCTGTTTAGGGTGCATCCGACTGGGTATAACCAGCCTTGACCCTTCACTTGCAGTGTGACCTCTAAAATTGACTCTGAAAAACAGGCTAGACAGGGATTTTTTGAATGGGGGGTGAAATACATTAACAATGCCAAAACACCACCCACGGTCATAACCGAAGGCTAAACAGGGTGAGACGCCCTGACTTCCTGAGGCCTGCTTCCACCCTGCTGGTTGGCTCTGCTTTCCCCCTCAACCAACCCTACAGTACTCACTGTGGGCCTGTGCCTACGTTACACAATGCACGCCACTTCATGTCAAAACTGTATTGACGGGCAAATTTGACGGGCAAATCCTCGAATGACATGAAATAGCCTGACATGTTTCCACTTAGAAACACGCCCTGATAAAATTAGAATACACCTTCCCCGCAAAGCGCACAGCACTACCACAGCAGCCGTGTGAGCTGCCTCTCAACTAGGCCTCTGGAAGTCAGGGTAATTACACTGCTTTGTCAAGGAAAATATGGTAAACTTTTGACCTAGCCCTACTTTTGACACATTCAGAATATCGATACCCGTCCATGGACAGGCAAGCCAAAAGCATCCCACGGCCGATTTTCGAGTAGGGGATAAACTTACCCTGTAAAATGTAATGTAAAACTTCGCACCCCTAGAAAAAAATGGCTCCCCCTGTCATTGTCAGGAGTGACACATTCCGAGCTGGTCGAAACTATGGCCTGCAAAAACTGTCAAAAGTTTTAGGGCTACCCAGCCTGGACGAGTTGGATCCCGGGCAAACTCGGATTCTGCAGAGTGACCCCTAGGTTATCGAGAGGCCTGCTCTCAACCAGCCAACCCAGCTCCCACAACAACCACTGCCCCTTATGGAAACCTATGACAGAGCCTAGGAACGAGGTTCTGTTACAAGGAACCGCAAAATCTTACAGCCCATTACTGACACCGCTAACACCGCAACTCTCGCCATGCTACTAACACCCCAACTCTCGCTCTTCCTCCGCTTTCTCCGCGATCGCCCGCTCTCGCGCCGCTCTCGCGCCGCTCTCCATGCCACATGCTATCCGCCCACTCGCTATCGTTAGCGGGTCTCTCTCTAGCGAGTCCCCCGCCGCATTTCTGGCCATTAGAACAAACCCCGCACGTACCACCAATCTCCTGGCTCCACGTGCCGTCGCGAGTTCACGTGGCAGCCTCACCAACGTCGTTCCTCTCCTCCTCCTTGTAACGGTAACCGCGCACTTTCTCTCCCTCGCCGCCGTCGCGAACGCTGCTGTGCCGACATGCTCCAGCCTAGCAGCCAAAGGTACTTATTTTAGACGTCTCGGAAACGCTCCTCCTCTCTCCTCTGACTCTGCTCTTTTACACGTGGTTACAACGCCGGCCACGCAGCCAAAGGTCCGTAATCTGAGACGTCTCAAAAGCTCTCTCATTGCACGTGGTTACGCCAGTCTCGCCTCTTAGATCAGCAGTCGCTAGAGACAACGAGGGTAGTAGGGCTCGACCAACGCCCCCGAATCGAATCCATCCGACGATAACGCTTTCAGGAAGTTCGCCGGTTTCTGTCGCAGCAAGCCCTCCCTCCCCCGAGTGTTTCTGAAACCAATCCTCGATACCGCATTCGTCCTACTGGAAGAGTTCACCGCCGCCAAAGACTCGACGTCCACTCGGCCTTACACGTAGGGCTAAACCGCAATCGCTGCGACCTCTGGATAATCTTCGTTTTGCCTTGTGGTCTAGTGCACGAGGTGTTACACTCGCCCAACTCTGCGTCGCGAAAGACAAAGGTTGTACTTCTCGGGCTCTCGCATCTCATCCAACTGCTCGTCCTCTGCCCGACAGAGATTGTAGTTCAAACCCTCACGACCCGCACGACCCTCACGACTCTCGCCGTCCTTCCCTTGGCGCATCATCTCGGCGAGCTGCTCCTCCCGCGAAAGACAGAGGTTGTGGTTCAGATCCCCGCGAGGCCTCGCGAGTCTCGCCGCCCTTCATTTATAATTGGAGTCGAATCAAATTCCACAGTAAGACTGAGGGTCTCAGACTCTCGCGTCTTGTGGTTCAGACCCCCGCGAGCCTCACGACTCTCGCCGCCCTTCATTTATCGCATCTCGCGCAACTCGTCGTCCCGCGAAAGATGAAACCATAGCTCAGATCCCTCGCAACCCCTCACGATACCTCACGACCCCTCACGATCCGGCGGTTCCGTCTCTACGATTACGAAATCCCTCCCCTTCTGAAAAAGTTGTCCTCACTTCTCTGCGCCAACCCACGACCATCACCCCACTCTCCCCCCATCTCTCCCCTCTCTCCCGCTCTCTCCCCCCTCCCAGCTCCCTCCTTGAATATTAGTCTTAGGCACTTAGGCAATCCGTCTCGCCCTATGGAGCTCGTTTCGTTGTACCAACCAACGGATCTGATGGAAATAAGGCCTCCTCAGCCCACCCTGTACTCCATCTACCACTCCCAGCGCCCTCCTTGAATCATGCTCCGATCTGATCTGAGGCGCCTAGGCAATCCCTCTTGGCCTTATGCAGTTCGTTTTGTTGTACAAACCAGCATGATGGAAATATGGCCCTCTGCAGCCCACCCCTGTAAAATCCATCTACGACTCCCAGCGCCCTCCTTGAATCATGCTCCGATCTGATCTGAGGCGCCTAGGCAATCCCTCTCTAACCCTCCCAACTACTCTTCCCTCTCGTTCTCCCCCCCTCCCCCCTCCCAGCGCCCTCCTTGAATCATGATCCGAGGCACCAGGGCAATCGCTCTCCCAACCTCCCAACTACTCTTCCCTCTCGTTCTCCCTCCCCCCTCCCAGCGCCCTCCTTGAACCTCCTTGCCAATGCGGGATTCGAGGAAACCTCCTCTGCAGCAGACTGGCCCTCTCCCATGGCTGCCTGGGTGCCGCTCTTCCCCTCCGCAGCAGCGCAACAGGGGGGAGGGGAGGCGCTGGGGGAGGGGCAGGGGGAGGAGATTCCGCCTGGGGACCCGTCCGTTGCAGCTGAGGGCAGTCGCTTTGTTCGCCTGCAGCCGAGCGACGGCAGCAGTGGCGGCGGCTGGGGGAGCGGGCTGAGTGAGAGTGGAGGGGCGGTGTGGGCAGTGCCGGGGGGAGTGGGGCAGCTGCTGTGCGTGGTTCGGGGGCAGGGGGAGCAGCAGCAGCAGGAGTTTTCGCTGTATTTCTATGCGAGGGCGCGGGAGATCATGTTGGGTGAGGATCCAATGCTGTATTCCTCTGGCTTGCGGCCGATGCGAGCAATGATCGTTGCCCTGCCGCTACCACCATCCACATTCGGCGGCAGCGGCAGCAGCAGCGGTGAGAGTGAGGGCATGCTGGCTAATGCGCTGGTAGCAGCCATTGGCAGCGGAACGGCAGTGACTGTGGAGCAGTGGACGGTGGGCATTCCCTGCCAAAGCGGCGACGACTCCTCTCTCTCCGGCCTCATGCCCTGGCGCCAGCACGGCCCCTTCTCCTTCCGCCTCCCGCCCTCCTCTGCCGCTGCTCCGCTCTCCTCCGACTCCTCTGCCCCTGCTCCGATCTCTTTCCCGCCGCTTGGCGCGGCGCTGTTTCTGGTGCTGCTGGAGGGCGCTGGGGTGGACAGCAGCAGCGCGGGGGATGGTGGGGTGGTTGAGCTTCCCATACCGTCCGAGCCCACGACTCCGCCCACGCTTGGTGGGGGAGGCAGCAGCGGTGCGACAGACAGCAGCAGCACGGGGAGCGATAGTGGGGTTGTTGAGGTTCCTGTGCCGCCCACAACTGCGCCCGTTCTTGGTGCTGCACCTGTGCTGGGAGCTGCTTCAGTGTCTGACGCTGCGGCCGTGCCTGGCGATGCATCCGTGCTTGGAGCTGCGTCATCGTCTACATTGTCTTCGTTGTCTCCAGTGGCAGCGGCAGTGGAAAGTGGGATGCTCACTTCGGTTGCGCTTGCACCGGGGAACATCGACGTGGACATGGTTACTGTAGCTCCCAGAGGAACAGGTAGATACGGTGTTTTTTTTTTTCTTATGAATTCGAGTATCTACGAATTTTGATAAAACAAGGATAGTTTTAGTTTAGTCCTCCTCGGAGCGAAGCCCGTTCTTCCATTTGACATTCCACTGGCCTCTTATGCCATGTCTCCCTCTCCTTTGCTCACTTTCCTTTTCTCGCCTTTTTTCTCTGCCTCCGCCCTCCTCGCGATTGCAGCAGCCTCCGCCCCCCCCTCCTTCTCCTACTTCCCACTCACCTCCTCTCCCCTCCTCACTTCCAGCTCGGCCCATCTCCTCCCCTCCTCCCTGCTCCTCACCCCCCTCTCTCCCCCCCACCAAGCGGGCCTTGCCCTGCACCCCTCCCCCTTCCCCCTCGTCTCCCCCGCCTCCCCCACCTCCCCCTGCCGCCCCTTCTCCTTCTCCTCCGCCTTCTCCTTCCGCCTCTCCTCCCCCCACCCCGCCGCTCTCGGTGCCGACGGCTTCACTTTCGTTCTCCTGCCCGACCCTACCGTCGGGCTGCCCGGAGCAAACATGGGATACGGGAGAAAGCTTTACCGGCAGGAGTTGCTGTTTGTTGATGGTGGGGAGGGTGGGGATACGATCTGTGTGGTAGAGCCGGGCATTCCCCCTGTCTGTACCGCCAGCGGCGGCAGCATTAGCTACAGCGCCAGCCTGCCACATCAGCACAGCCTGGCAGTGGAGTTTGACACGTCAGCAACTCGTCTGTTCCTGGACCCAGCCACCCATCACGTGGGCGTGAACAGGGACTACAGCATGACGTCAGCAGCCCATGCGTCTGTACACCCCATGGGCATCCCCTCCCTCAGCACTAACACCAACCAGAGCAGCAGCAGCAGCAAGCCCAAGCAGGCCACCAACCAGACGCTATATGCATGGGTGGATTACAACGCCACGGCTTCCCTCCTCTCTGTCCGCCTCTCCCCCTCCCCCACACGGCCCTCCTCCGCCCTCCTCTCCCTCCCCCTCAACACCTGCGATCTCTTCCACTCCGCTGCCCCAGAGGACGGGGGGAGTGGTGAGGCGGTGCTGGTGTATGCGGGGTTTGCAGGTGGCACGGGGCTGCTGCCAACGCACACACAGACGCATGAGATCATGTCATGGTCCTTTCAAGTTGATGACCAAGGTGAGAGAGAGGGGGCAGTGGGGAAGGCTTGTTAGATTGTTTGCTGCTGCAGCACTCACTCAGACACACGATCTCCCTGCAGTAGACAGCTAAGGTGAGTGAGGAGGACAAAGTGAGGAGTTCTCTGTGCGTTAGAGGATTTGAGGCTTGTTAGATTGTTTACAGCTGCCTTGCGCTCACTCAGACACACGAGCTCCACGGATTAAACAGCTACGGTGAGTGAGGAGGACAGAGAGAGGAGGTAATGCTTGCATCTCAAGACAGGCACTCTCGCATGCCTTCCTCCCTCCTTTATTCCGCTCCACCCCCGCTCCCCGCCTCCCCCCTCTCCTCCCCTTTCCCCAGCACCCGCTCCGCTGCCTGTGTGGCAGCCGCCCTCCCTCGCCCTCCCCTTCCTCATGCCACTCCCCTTTCCCAAGTCCTTATCCCTTCCGCTTTCCTCTTTCTCCGTCCCCCCGCTTTCCAGAAAGACCCTTCCTTTCCCCCCTGCTCCTCTGCCTGTGTGGCAGCCGCCCTCCCTCTCCCTCCCCTTCCTCACTCCAGCCACCCCCTTCACTGCATTCGGCGCTGCCCACCTCAGCTTTCCCTTCTCGTTTCTCCTTCCCCCCCCTCCCCCCTCTCCCCCCTCCATTTACCCTTCTTCTCTCCTGCAAACAGTGCCTGCTCCTGTGCCTGTGTGGCAGCGGCCCTCCCTCTCCTTCCCTTTCCTAACGCCAGCCACCCACTTCACTGCATTCGGTGCTGCCCACCTCGGCTTCTCTGCACTCCATCTCACCCCAGGCGACCAGGAAGAGGAAGCAGGAGCAGCCTTCTTCCCCCTCCCCCTGCCCCTCGTCTCCCTCCTCCCCGCACCCCCTCCGCGCAAGGGGAGGAAGGGCGGAAAGACTCAGACTGACACACTGGTGTGTAGGGCTCGCTCCTTCACCTCTTGGTTCGCTTTTGATCTTAAGTCAACAGTGACTGATGGGTTCGGGGTGGTTTTCGTTCTAAGTACTCGGCCGGGGGTGGGGCAAGGAGCGGCGGATATGGGGTATGGGCGGGATGCTGGGGAGAGGGATGCGAATGGGGCGTGGGCGGATGGGGGGAGGAGCGTGGGAGTGATGTTTGATGCTTTTAGCGGGAAGGATCCTGACTTTGATGTGAACAACGATAAGGCGTTTTTGTCCGTATACACTGATTTTAACGTGACACAGCGGCTGGCTTTTTCTCCTCAGAAGCGCTACACTCCATCCTCGTTATACGCCATGAGGGTGGACTACACTGCAGGGACTAGGACCCTGGAAGCAGTGACTTATAACGGGGCAAAGAGGATGGGGAGCGTGAAGATTAGTATGGACCTGTGCTCTATTTTCTACGATGGAAGCAGCAGCACCAGCAGCACCAGCAGCAACAGCAGCACCAGCAGCACCAGCAGCAGTAACAACAGCAGCAGCGGTGGCGCTACTGGTGGGGTGATTCCGGTGTTTGCTGGGTTCAGCAGTGCGAGCACGCGGGCATGCGTGCAGTCGATCAAGTCCTGGACCTTCCAATTCACAGGTGGGTGTATGCGTGTGTGTGGGGGTGTGGGGGAAGGGGGGGGGGTAGGGGGGTTGGGGACTTTGCATGTGGGGAGGGGGGCAGGCACGTGCGTGTGGATTTGAGCACACATGCATGAGCACGCATGTATGCGTGCAGTTTATCAAGTCCTGGACCTTTCAATTCACAGGTGGGTGCGTTTGTGTAGAGGGTGGGGGGGGGGGGGTGTGGGGCTGGAAGGGGCAGCAGCAAGCAGGTGTTTGCTGGGAGTGGCAGTGCGAGCACGAGTGCATGTGTTCAGTCCATCAAGTTGTGGACCTCTCGCTTCACGGGTGTGTGCGTGCGAGTGCGTCTGTGCTTGTGCGCGTGCGCGTGCGTGTGTGCATTTGTGTGTGTGCTCTTGCCCTCTCCTTCTCCCCTTCCTTCCAACTTCCCCACTTTCCATCTCTCCTCCCATCCCCTCCCTTCTCCTCCCGTTTCCTCTCCTTCCCTCCATTCCCTCTCCGCCCATTCCCTCTCCCCCCATTCCCTCTCCCCCCATTCCCTCTCCGCCCATTCCCTCTCCCCCCATTCCCTCTCCCCCCATTCCCTCTCCCCCCATTCCCTCTCCCCCCATTCCCTCTCCGCCCATTCCCTCTCCGCCCATTCCCTCTCCCCCCATTCCCTCTCCCCCCATTCCCTCTCCCCCCATTCCCTCTCCGCCCATTCCCTCTCTCCCGATCCTCTCTTTTCCCATCCACTCTCCTCCCATCTCCTCTCCTCCCATCTGCACATCCCCCATCATCGCTCCCCCCTTGCTTCCTCCCCCCCCCCTGTGCCCGTTAGACGTCAACCCGTGCACAGCATGGGATGTAAACTCATGCAGTATCGGCAGGTGCAGTGCGGTGCGGGTGCCGGCAGGTGCAGTGTGGTGTGGTGCGGTCCATAGCAACAGGCACACGCTCACGCCTTCTCTTCTCATCATGTCCTCCCGTCTCCTTTCCTCCCGTCTCCTTTCCTCCCGTCCACTCTCCTCCCGTCCACTCTCCTCCCGTCCACTCTCCTCCTGTCCACTCTCCTCCCATCCATTCTCCTCCCATCCACTCTCCTCCCTCCTCCTCTTCTCCCATCCACTCTCCTCCCTCCTCCTCTTCTCCCATCCACTCTCCTCCCTCCTCCTCTTCTCCCATCCATTCTCCTCCCTCCTCCTCTTCTCCCATCCACTCTCCTCCCTCCTCCTCTCCTCCGTTCCCCTCTCTGCCCATCCCATCAGATGTCAACCCATGCACGGCATGGGATGTGAATCCATGCGGTGCCGGCAGGTGCAGTGCGGTGAAGTCAGCAGCGACAGGCACATACACCAGCACGTGCTCGTGCCCTCTCAGCCAGCCCAGCTACAAGCTCCCTCAAATGCCTGCCTTCCAGACGTGCCACAACGGTGAGTTGAGGCTTGGAAACTCGTTATGATCGTATCAGTTGCCTTAGTACGTGCTCGTGCCCTCTCAGCCAGCCCAGCTACAAGCTCCCTCTAAGTCCCTCCTGCCAAACTTCTTACGGTCCACGATGGTAAAATCTGACTCTCTTTTTCGAATGTGTGACACTGTTACTGATTTCCTGCCCTAGCTCATGCGCTCACCCTCTCAACCAGCCCACCTACATGCTCCCTGCACCTTTCAATGTTGCCACTAATAGTGCAAGATTTAAAGCCCAACCGGCGGGTTGCATATTGACACTGTTGAGGTAGGTGGGCCGGCAGCAGATGATTGGCTGACGAGCTGTAGGTGAGGCGAATTTTTATGGCGAAGGTTTGTTTTCGCTAAGGCACCTGTTTGTCAATGAGTGCCACGAGGGTTGGAAACTTGGCAGGAGTGCCAGGTTTCGTGCCTCTCATTTGGCGGGGGTTCAACTCAGCAGACGCGCCGCTCCTGCCAAGAAAGGTTTTTCCGATGCTTGGCAACCCCGCTTTGTACCCCCGACAAGATTACTACAGTGAACTCCGTTCGGTAGACATGGTCAAAATGCGATGCGATGCGATATCGCATCGCATTTTCTCTTATCGCGCATTATATCGCAGCGATGTGATATCGCATCGCTGCGATATGTTAAGAAAAAAACTGATATCGCATATCGCGTTTTAGGGGGCGATATTTAAAACTATCGCCTAAAAAAAGCGATGCATCGCGCGATGTGATATAATATTGCATCGCATTTAGGGGCCACTGTTTTCCCGCCCTAAATAAAAAAACGTGTTCCCACACCACAGGGAAGTTTAGTGCGGTTGAAGTGGTGGAAATTGGTTGGAGTTCCAACCAATTGACTTTGGGGATCGAGATTTTAGTCCAACCCCCTAAATCCCTTCAACCGCACACCACCACATCCCATCCAGAAAACCCACTCGCCCACCGCCCACCACCAACCATAACAAATTTGAACCCCCACCAAACTCCCCTCCCTCAACCACACTGCACTCCTTCCCATCTAGAATTTCCAACCCTTCCTCTAATGTGCTCCTTGCTCTGCTCCTCACACAAACTCCTCCCCCCAAACTGCCGCTTGCCATTTCCGCACGCCATTCTGCAAGAGAAACCTAGACTAGCTTACCATCTATTTTCGCTAAGTTCTGGGCCCTCGCCCATGCCCCCCCCCTTGCTGGAGAAATTCCGCGACGCGATACGCGAAAGTATCGCGCGCGATATCTTTTTATCGCTCATCGCATTTTATCGCGCAAAAAATAGTGCGATAAAAATGCGATATCGCAAATATCGCGCGATATTATCGCATCGCATCGCCGCGATATTCTAAAAAAGAAGAAGATAAATCGCTATCGCAAAATGCGATATAACGCGATGCGATGCGATTTAACCATGTCTACCGTTCGGTGGTTCTACATTCACCAAAATCGCACAACAGTGACAGTGTATTCGCACGATCACACCCCGAAACTGTCATAACTCTGCTCCCTGCCCTCGGAACTTGGCAGGGATGTCATACTGCCAAGTTTGTCGAGGCTTCAGCTTGAGTCAGTTTGGCCAACTGAGACAGTTCGATGATTGCTTCCCAGTAACAGGTGCTCAAGATGATGCATCTTGAGCTAAACTGACTTGCAACCTGCCGGTCGGGCTTTAAATATATTAGACAAATTTAGTGGCAAGAAGTCAGTATATGTATCCTGACTTCCTTCCCTCGAAATCTCTCGTCTTTTTCGTCTGCACCAGAGGGGTCCCCACCTGTCGCCCCAACTCCGCCCCTCCACCTCTTCTTTCCGCCTTTCAGCGCTCCTCGACTCGAATTCTCTTCTTTCACTTCCCTTCTCTTCTGGTCGATCCTCCTCCCATCCGTCAATTGCCTTGCCCCTCCAGAGCACTGACAGTTCTCCGCCTGCCGTCTAAGCAGCACCGACACCTGTGCTCCTCTCCTGTCGTGTGCCTCATCCAACCTCTATCCATCTCCATTAGTTTCCCTTCGTCTTCCTTCCTTCCCCCACAACCATTTCCTCCAGATTTCCCCGTCTGTCGGCTCAACAGCTCCGACACCGGTGCTTCTGCCGTGTGCCTCGATGGCGATGACGCCACCATTGGAGTCCTCTCATCCTTGTACCTCCACAATGCATCTCCCCATTCACCGGCTTCTCCTCCAGAGTTCCCCGCCTGTCGGCTCAACAGCTCTGACACCTGTGCGCCAGGCGTGTGCCTCGATGGCTTCGACGCCTCCTCCCTCTGCCTCTGCCCGCCCAACTTCTTCACTGCTGACTACTCTAACCTCATGAAAGGGCCTTGTAATATAGGTGAGTGTTCTGTCTGGCATGTGTTGGACCACGCTCACGAAGAGCACATTGACCCTCGCTCTGCCTCTGCCCGCCTGCCTTCTTCATTGCTGACTACTCTAACCTCATGAAAGGGCCTTGTTATATAGGTGAGTTAATGCCTGTAAAGTAGGCCAGCTACTGCTTGTAATTTCGGTGCGTCAATGCTTGTAATTTAGGTCAGTGTCGACACCTGCATTCACAGTGTGTGTCTCGTCTCGACAGCTATGACCCCCCCTCCTCCCCCTGCCTTAGCCCGCCTGCCTTCTTCACTGCTGACTACTTTTACCTCATGAAAGGGTGTTGTGATATAGGTGAGTCTGACAATGTTTGTAGTTTAGGTTAGTCAATGCTTGTAGTTTAGGTCAGTCAATGCTTGTAATATACGTCAGTCAATGCTTGTAGTTTAGGTCAGTCAATGCTTGTAATATACATCAGTCAATGCTTGTAGTTTAGGTCAGTCAATGCTTGTAGTTTAGGTGACTAATGGCACCTGTGTTCAGAGTGTGTGTCCCTCGCTAATGTGTCTCAAGCCCTCTGCTCCCCTACTTAGGAGGCTCCTTAGGGCTCACCTCCCATTTTCACCTCCTCCCTTTTTCACCTCCTCCCTTCTTCTGATCTCTCCTTTCTCCCCTTTCTATCAGTGAGAGCATCGGCCTCTCGAGTGCCCTTCTTCCCAGCGCCCCATGGCCTCACATGCCCTCTGCTGCTGGACATCTTTGACCTTGCGCCCGAAGAGCTGATGGCTAGCAACAAGGTGAGCGGTGTGGTAGTGTGCAGTAAGGTTAGCGGTGTGTGTGGTAGTGTGCAGTAAGGTAAGTGGTGTGTGTGGTAGTGTGCAGTAAGGTAAGCGGTGTGTGTGGTAGCGTGCAGTAAGGTAAGCGGTGTGTGTGGTAGTGTGCAGTAAGGTAAGCGGTGTGTGTGGTAGTGTGCAGTAAGGTAAGCGGTGTGTGTGGTAGTGTGCAGTAAGGTAAGCGGTGTGTGTGGTAGTGTGCAGTAAGGTAAGCGGTGTGTGTGGTAGTGTGCAGTAAGGTAAGCGGTGTGTGTGGTAGTGTGCAGTAAGGTGAGCAGCGCTTGGGGTGTGGTGCAAAGCATGCCCTCGACTCACATGCCCTCTGCTGCTCGATGTCTTTGACCTCTCGCCTCAAGAGCTGCTGGAGAGCAACAAGGTGAGGCGTGTCGGAGATGTCGGTGCTGTTGTTCGATGATGCTGGCTGTTGTTCGATGATGCTAGCTGCTGTTCGATGATGCTAGCTGCTGTTCGATGATGCTAGCTGCTGTTCGATGATGCTAGCTGCTGTTCGATGATGCTAGCTGCTGTTCGATGATGCTAGCTGCTGTTCGATGATGCTGGCTGCTGTTCGATGATGCTGGCTGCTGTTCGATGATGCTGGCTGCTGTTCGATGATGCTGGCTGCTGTTCGATGATGCTAGCTGCTGTTCGATGATGCTAGCTGTTGTTCGATGATGCTAGCTGCTGTTCGATGATGCTAGCTGCTGTTCGATGATGCTAGCTGCTGTTGGATGATGCTAGCTGCTGTTCGATGATGCTAGCTGCTGTTCGATGATGCTGGCTGCTGTTCGATGATGCTGGCTGCTGTTCGATGATGCTGGCTGCTGTTCGATGATGCTGGCTGCTGTTCGATGATGCTGGCTGCTGTTCGATGATGCTAGCTGCTGTTCGATGATGCTGGCTGCTGTTCGATGATGCTGGCTGCTGTTCGATGATGCTGGCTGCTGTTCGATGATGCTGGCTGCTGTTCGATGATGCTGGCTGCTGTTCGATGATGCTGGCTGCTGTTCGATGATGCTGGCTGCTGTTCGATGATGCTGGCTGCTGTTCGATGATGCTGGCTGCTGTTCGATGATGCTGGCTGCTGTTCGATGATGCTGGCTGCTGGTCGATAACGCTGGCTGCTGTTCGATGATGCTGGCTGCTCTTCGATGATGCTGGCTGCTGTTCGATGATGCTGGCTGCTGTTCGATGATGCTGGCTGCTGTTCGATGATGCTGGCTGCTGTTCGATGATGCTGGCTGCTGTTCGATGATGCTGGCTGCTGTTCGATGATGCTGGCTGCTGTTCGATGATGCTAGCTGCTGTTGGATGATGCTAGCTGCTGTTGGATGATGCTGGCTGCTGTTGGATGATGCTGGCTGCTGTTCGATGATGCTGGCTGCTGTTCGATGATGCTGGCTGCTGTTCGATGATGCTAGCTGCTGTTCGATGATGCTAGCTGCTGTTCGATGATGCTGGCTGCTGTTCGATGATGCTAGCTGCTGTTCGATGATGCTAGCTGCTGTTCGATGATGCTAGCTGTTGTTCCCGATGGTTCATGAATTTTTGTTCACAGGGCATTGCGTGCGACAAGCCCATACCGCGTGGCCTGATCATCAATGTGTCCGCCTCGGCTAACAAGACGTGCACCAGCATGTATACATCTAACGAGGTGAGAGATACACACTACTAGATTGAACTCTACCATTCACAAGGCATCCTTCACAATAGGCGCATCACATGCCTCATAAACCGTTCCTTGAATTTAATTTAAATCAATCAAGTGAACATGAGCTGGAATTCGTGAAGTATGTAACATGGGCGGCTGGTTCTGCTAATAAGAGTTGCACAAGCACGGGTACGGCTAACCAGGTGAGGCACGACAGGGTGTACAGAATTATTGAGAACGCGTACAATGTAAAAGGTGCATACCTTATACGTTGATAGTCAGCGTCTCTGCATCTGCTAACAAATCCTAACACAAATGCACTGTTCACTTTTTGGAGTATTTGCGTTGATTGACTCTCTATTGCACACGCACAGATGTGTTTTGTGTGTTTTGACTCTAAACACACCTGGATATAGTGCCGCACGTTGTAATACTTGCGTTAAATCCCTCTCACACACGCACAGACGTGGATTCCTCATCCCCCTCCCTCCCACACTCCCCCTTTCAACCCTTCTTTTCCCTAACACACACACACCAGGGTGGCATGTGCACGTTAATCAACACCCTCTTACACTAACAGCCTTGAATCACAACGATGAATCACACTCTCTCCTCTTCCCCCCACCCCCCCCACCCTCCGTCCCTCAACACACACTCCAGGGTGACACGTGCGCATTGATCAACACTCTCTTACAGACCAACATAACCGCCTTGAATCGTAACATTGACTGCTCACAGCCGTTTATACCTGGAAAGGTCAGTACCGATTGTCACCACATTCGACCCTCTTTGTACCATTTTCAATCCCTTTCCCGTACCTTCTCTACTAGCATTCGTTTCTCTCTCTCTCTTTTTCCCCACATCACATGCAAGCACAGCACTGCTGAATTCAAAGCTACCTATTGCATGATAGACCACCACCACACCACAATTTTCCCAAGAGGTGACATTGAGTTGGCTCGAAAGTCATCTCTATTGTTGCATGATACACCACCACATCGCATTTTTCCAAGAGGTGACTTTGCGTGACAGTCCATGAGTAATAACTATGATCGACTCAAAAGTCACCTTCTTAATTCCTTAGCTATCTCGAAAGCACGATAGGTGACCACACCTTTCCAAGATAAAAGATATTGGCGAAGTGGACAAAAGGTCTCACTGTGGAGAAGAACACCAGGGGCCCTGCCTTCCCAGTCTCAGCTCATGCTTCACCTGCCTCCCCCCCAGTGCGTGCCACTGTCTAAAACAGACACAGTATCCTTCCTTTCTCCCCTGCCCTCCCTTTCAGTGCCTGTGTGTGGTGAACAACACCAGAGTTCCCGCCTTCCCTATGCTAGCCCGCGCGATTGAGATGGCTGTGCAGTGCAGCCCATGTCTCAGATTACAGAGTATCTTTTTAACCCTCTCTTTCCTCCTCTTCCCACTCTCCCCTCCTTCCCTTGCAGCGCCTGTGTGTGGAAAACAACACCTGGGACCCCACCCTCCCAGCCTCAGCGTGCATGATTCGCATGGCTCTACAGCCCAACCTGCGCACGTGCCAGCAGCTCACCATCGGCTCTGGACGGGAGCGCATGAGTCTCAGCTTTCCCCTCTCCCTTGCCCCCCACCCCTTCCCTCCCTTGCAGCGCCTGTGTGTGGAGAGCAACACCAGAAACCCCACCCCCCCAGCCTCAGACTGCATGATTCGCATGGCTCTGCAGCCCAACCTGCGCACGTGCCAGCAGCTCGCCAGGTTTGGTGCGGGGAGGGAGCACATTACCCTCGCCCGGCTTTTCCGCCTCAACCCCGCCCTCTACTGCGACCAGCTGATTCCGAGCGCTGCTGGGTGGACTGACCCTGTGCTTGACGAAGTGAGTGGCTGGTTATTCTTGAGACGATGAGTGCTTGTGCGTGAAACGGCGAGTGGTGTGCACATGGGATGGGATGCAGGGGTTTTCTGGGCTGTGGCAGCAGCCCACCGCCTTCAGCTCTGGAAGGGAGCATACGAGCCTCACCTGGCTCTTCCATGTCAACCCTGCTCTCTGCTGCGATCTGCTGCTGCCTGGTGCTGCTGGGTGGACCGACCCTGTGCTTGACACGGGGCAACCGTATGAGCCTCACCTCGCTCCCCCATCTCAACCCCGCTCTCTGCTGCGATCTCTTGCTGCCCGGCTCTGCTGGGGGTCTTCTGACTGGCTCTTCCATTCTCAAAAACATATTTTTTTTGCCCCTCACACCAGGTGTGTGTACCTATAGATGACACGTCAGGATATGGAGGGATGCCGATTCCTAGGGGTTTCGGGCCATTCACATTGTTTTCTTGCCCCTCACACACACCAGGTGTCTGTCCTCGTGGTTGACACGTCAGCAGGAGGGGAGGGTTGTGATTCCTAGAGATTTCGTGCCGTTCACATTGTTTTCTTGCCCCACACCAGGTTTTGTCGAGAATCTTCAATAACACTTTTTTCTCGCCCCTCACGCCAGGTGTGTGTACTCGTGGATGAGTCAGGAGGTTGGGGAGGGATACCGTGCGACACCCAACGCTTCTACCTTGTGAGGCGAGGGGACACGTGTGGCAAGCTGATTGCGTCCAAGTACCGGCGGAAAGTGAACCTCTTTCGGTCACTCAACGGAGGGTTTGACTGTACTGTCTCGTCGCTGTGGGTCGGCATGCAGCTGTGCTTACCGTGATGAGACAGGGTTGATTGTAACGGGTGGAAAGTTGACCTCTTTTGGTCACTCGATGGAGGGTTTGACTGCACTGTGTCGTCGCTGTGGGTGGGCATGCAGCTGTGCTTACCGTGACGAGACCCATAATTCACTGAACCTAACGCCCACTGATACTAATGTGCAAGTGCTGGCGAAAGGTGAACCGAGGTGAACCTCTTTCGCACATAAAATGGAGGGTTTGACTTGACTGCATCGTGTCATCGTCGCTGTGGGTGGGCATTGGGCATGCAGCTACCGAATGCTTACTGCGATGACGGGATGGACATACGATCGAGTGAGTAACGCCTGATGCTAACGTAACGTTTGAATACTGACGGAAAGGTCAGATCTTTCGGTCACTCGAATGGAGGGTATGACACTGCCCGTTGTCTGTCCATCGTGGGTGCGTGTATTGTGCTAATGCTAACCCTTGCTTAGCAGAATGAAGCAATGAACCTGAACCAAAATCTAACGTGAACCAGAATGAAGCACTGTCCTGCACTCCACTGACTTGCTTGGCGCCGCCCTGCACTGTTCCTGATGGCGGGGGAGCTTCGCTTCGACGCTGAAGGCCAGCCTCTGGAGTTCGAGGCCTGGCTAGCCGACCTCCGCCGCCACCTCACTGGCCAGCGGCAGGATGGCCACTCGCTTTCGGTACACCTTGACGGTACGCTTCCTTGCCCAGACCTCTCTGCTGTGCTGCCAGCTGACCCCATACCTGCTAAGCGTGAGTCTGTTGCGGCCGCTGCCCTTGCTCGCTCTGTCTGGCTTTCCCGTGACGCTGTCGCACAGCTTGCTATTAGCAATGCCCTCCCCCTGTCTGAGCGCCCACGCTTTCGGTCTATCATCACCGCCCAGGCTTTCTTAGATGCTGTTATCCAGCGCTATTCCACCCGGCCTGCTGCCTCGGTGGGTCGCCTGATCCTCCCTCTCCTCTTCCCTGACCTAGCGTCGTTCCCCACGGATGCTGATCTAGCTGCCCACCTCCGCACGATAGATGAGACCTGGCGCGCTGCCTGCACTGACGCACAGCTTAGAGCCCATCAGTCGCCCCTTACCTCTACCCTCTACCTGCTTGCCACCCGCCTCCCTAACCGCCTTGCCGCTGCTCGTGACCGCTTCCTTAGCATTCACCCCGGTGACCTCACCTTCACAGTCTTTGTAGACACCCTGACTGTTATCGAGACCCGCCACCGCTCTATCGCCCAGGCGAGCGGTACTGTGCCGGTCCCTCTCTTTCAGGTTTGTGCCCCCGCTCAGTGCACCTTCTCCGATGGTTCTGCAGCTGTGGCTGAGACCGCCGCTGCAGCACAGTTCCGTCCGGGGAAGGGTCGTCGCCCCAAGTCTGGGCGCGGCGGAGGGGGTGGGGGTGCAGGTGGAGGTAGTGGTGGAGTCGGGTCGCCTGATGGTGGAGCGGACGAGGAGACCCTGCCGGGTTCGGCTGCGCAGCCGCCCCAGCAGCCGCAGGAGCAGCAGCAGCCGCAGCCCCCGCACTAGCCGCAGCAGTCGCAGCAGACGAGGCCGGCGAGTGACCTCCCGCCCGGGTGGCCTGGTGCTGGTGGTGGCCGTGCGCGTGGTGGTGTACCGGGTGGCGGTTCGGGAGGCGTGCGCGGTCAGTACCAGCTCTAGACCGGTCCTCGCCGCGGCTTCGTTTGCGGTAAGATTGGTCACACCACTGCCCGCTGTTTTCGTCGCCTGGACGACCTCTTTCGTCAGCGCTTCGGCCCATCGCCTGACCTCCCGGACTGGCACAGTTTGCTTAGTCGTAGAGTTCAGATTTTTTACATGGACATGGATGCCATTGTTGCTGCCTTGCATGTGATGTATGCTGATGACTCTAGTGTGCTACCCTCTTATTACTCCTTGTCACCTAGTGTAGGTGTGCCTAGCTTAGCCTCCCCTGCTGCGTTAGGCGTAGGAGCTTCTGCGTTGTTTAGCCTTGGTGCTTCCGTCGTTGCCCCGTCGCCAGACGCCACTGCTGCGCTTTCCTTCACCTTGGACTCTGGCGCTTTCCGGTGTTTCTTCCGCGACTCCACTACGCTGACGCCGCTTCCTGTTCCTGCTGCAGCTTCTCTTGCTGACCCCTCCGGCGGTCGAGTAGTCGCCCGCAGTTCCACCACACTTCCCTGTCTGGCGGTTCCTTCGGGCTCTCTCATAGGTCTGCATATCCCCTCGTTCTCCAGGAACCTAGTTGGTGTCGGCTGCCTCCAGGACCTTGGCGTCACCACTACGTTCCTTGGTCACGAGCGGTATGCTGTCTGTACCGAGGCCGCCACTGGTGCCCCCCTTTCCACGTTCCCCCGGGACCCTGTGTCCGGCCTGTTCACCCAGGACACCGTGACCCCCCCGGCAGGGGCGCCCCCTCAGGTGGCTGCGTCTTACCAGATTGCTGTTGCCTGCTCCTGTCGGTCCCTCACTCACCCGACTCTCCTGTGGCATCACCGCCTAGGTCAGCCTGCGCTCCCGCGTCTGCGTCACATGTCCCAGTACGGTCTCGTCCTTGGTCTCCTCGGTTCGTTTCCCGCTTTTCCCTCCTCCCCCGCCCCACTGTGCACCCCTTGTGTCGAGGGTCGGCTTCGCCATGCCCCTCACTCCTCCTCGTTTCCCCCTACCGCCGTGCCGCTGCAGACCCTGCACATGGACGTCTGGGGCCCCGCCCCCGTCCATGGGCCGCGTCGAGAGCGCTACTTCCTCGTGCTTGTCGACGACTACACTCGCTACACCACAGTTTTTCCCTTGGAGCGAAAGGCCGACGTGCCTGACGCTCTCATCCCCTGGCTTGTCTCTGCGCGTGTCCACCGAGGTCTCCATGTCTTGCATCTTTACTCAGATCGTGGTGGCGAGTTTACCTCAGGTGTCCTTGGTCGCTTCTGTCATGCGGAGGGCATCACCCAGACGTTCACCCTGCCGGACTCCCCACAGCAGAATGGGGTCGCTGAGCGACACATCGGTTTGGTCATGGAGGTGGCTCGCACCTCCATGATCCATGCCGGTGCACCCCATTTTCTGTGGCCGTTCGCCGTGCGCTACGCTGCTCACCAGCTTAACCTGTGGCCGCACCCCCAGCGGCCGCACGTTTCGCCGAACCTTCTTTGGACTGGGTCTCCTGGTGACGCGTCTGCGTTCCACGTCTGGGGCTGCCTTGCTCACGTTCGTGCATCTCGCACGGACAAGCTCACTGCCCGCACCCTTCCCTGTGTCTTCCTCGGTTTTCCCCTTGACGCGTCCGACTGGCACTTCTACCACCCGCCGTTTCACCGGTTCTTTCACTCTCGCAACGTCACCTTTGATAAGTCCGTCTCCTTCTACCGTCACTTCCCCCACCGCAGTCCCCCTGTTACTCCCCCCCTGTACCTGGTCACTCCTTCCCCGGTGGTCCCTGCCCCCCCCCCTCCCCCTCCTGCCCCCTCTGGTGTTTTCCACGTCACCCCTCTCCCGTCGGTTGTCCCGGTCGATGAGTCTTCTAACTCTGGTGGTCCTGCGGCGCAGTCCTTGCCGTCTGTCCCTCCCCATGCGACTCCTCCTCCACCGCCTCTGCAGCCGCCGTCGCCTCTGCTGTCGCAACCGTCGTCTCCGCCGCCGCCGTCGCAGCAGCAGTTCGTCGAGTCTGGGGTTGCTCGCGTTGGGGTGGGTGCTAGTCTTGGGGTTCCTGTCGTGGCCTGTCCCGGTGGCCCTGGGGGTGGTCTCGGTGCTCGAGGGGTTTGGGGCTCTGGGGGTGTTCCTTCTGGGGGTGAAGGAATGGAGTGTCCCGGAGGTAGCCGAGGAGCAGCTTGTGGTCCCGGTGTCGCTGTTGTGCCGCCGCAGCAGCAGTCCCCACCGGTGTCCGCCCTTCGCCTGCTCGGGCTTCCGTCCCCTGACCCTGCGTCTGTTCCTCTCATGCCGTCTCCTCCTCTTCCTGTCTACGGCCCTGTGTTCCCTCCGCCGGACTCGTCCCCGGCTCGTCTTCCCCCTCGCTCCCCCCTTGTATCCCCTCCTCTGTCTCCTGACCCGACGCCTCCGTCTCATGTCTGGTCCTGCCGTCCCTCCCGCGCTCATCCTGTCTCCCCTGTCACGCGCTCTTACCCTATGTTGTTCCGTTCCCACGCGTCTCGTCCTTCCCTTCTTCCGTCGCCTCCTCCGTCCTCTCTTACCGTTGCGCCTCCTCCTCTTTCTGACTACCTTCGTGCCGTTCGTCCTCTTGTTCCTCGGGTCCTCGCCTCTCTCGTTACCGACCCGTCCGTTCCGGTCGCGTGTCTTGACGCTCTTGTCGCTGCGGTCGCTGACTTCGCCTCTACCCACTGCCTTGACTACGCCACCGCTCTTGCCTCTGACCCTGCCTGTTCTCCGTCTGTCGGGGGTGCTCCTGCCCTCGGCAGTGACGTCCTGGAGGACCGCCAGTTCGAGCTTGCTTTCCTCTCCGAGGCTGCTCCCCATCTCTTATCCATGCTGCTAGTCCCTTAGGGTGACCCAGACGCTTTCGACATCCCGACCCCTCGCACTTACGCTGAGGCGACCTCGAGACCTTGGGCCTCTCAGTCGATAGCTGCCATGGAGCAGGAGATGGCATCTTGGAGATCCACCGGCACCTACGTCGACGCAGTTCCTCCACCTGGGGTGAACGTAGTCGATGGCCGCTGGCTCTTCAAGGTGAAGCGCCCTCCTGGAGAGCCGCCTGTGTTCAAGGCACGCTACGTGACTAGAGGTTTCAGTCAGCGTGAGGAGGTGGACTTCTTCCAGACCTTCGCTGCGACCCCGAAGATGACTACTCTTCGGGTGCTGCTTCACTCCCTCGACTTCTCCACTGCGTTTCTTCAGGGCAGCCTACACGAGCAGGTCTACCTGCGTCGCCCTCAGGGTTTCATTGGCACCTTCCCTCCTGGGACTCAGTGGCTCCTGCGGCGTCCCGTCTACGGCCTGCGGCAGGCTCCCCGTGAGTGGCACGACACGCTGCGTCCTACCCTTGCTCACCTGCAGTTCTTTCCGTCCTCCGCATAGCCCTCACTCTTCGTTCGTACTGGTCACACTCCATTCTACATCCTCGTTTACGTGGATGATCTGTATCAGAATTGAGAAGTGAATGATAGATAGAGTGAGAGTACACACAGATATACCTAAGTGTTGTACTCTCTAAGAGGCGACCCTATACAGTCTATACAAACATGACAAATACACATGTTTGACACACACCCTAGACTGCATAGGGAAATGCCCTAAACAAACAGCTCAGGGCGGCACTACTAGTCCAACCTCTGAGACAAGGGTCTGAGAGACCAGTCAGAAGGAGTACAAACAAGGCAAGAACAAGAGCAGGGTGGCACTACTAGTCCACCCACTGGGAGAGGACACAAGTCCAGTCTGAGTATACGTATAAAGGACAGTACAAAGTCAAGGTCCTAGCAAGTGAGAGGCTACAGGAACTAGACCAAGCTGTACACAGTGCCGCTGATGATCTTTAGGCGCAAGCGCCTTCGTAAAGATATCAGCCGTGTTGGCACCTGAGGCCAAGTGTACTACGCGAGCCTGACGTCGCTGCTGTAGCTCACGCAGGAGGAAGTACCGCAGCTGAATGTGCTTTGCTCTGCCCTCGAGTCGAGGCTCCTGGCACAGGAGGATCATGGCCCTGTTGTCAGCGAACAGGACCGGGGCAGAGCTAGGCCGCTCACCTAAGTCAGTGAGCAAGAAGGTCAGCCAGCGGAGCTCCTGTGCCGCCATGGCACCAGCGTAGATCTCAGCCTCACAGCTGGACTGCGCAACAGACGAGGAGCGGGTAGCTCTCCACGAGACGGCACCTGAGCCAAGGCTGAAGCAGTAGCCCTAGGTAGACCTGAGTGTCTCAGCGTCGTCTGCCCACGAAGCGTCTGTGTGTCCAGTAAGGACCACTGGCCTGCGTCCTCCTAGCACTAACCCCATGCCCGATGTACTAGCAAGATAACGCAGAACCCTCTTAGCGGCAGACCAGTGCTGTGGTCGGTGTCTGCCTGTGGCCACAAAGCGAGCCAGGATGCTGAGAGGGTATGCGAGATCTGGGCGAGTGCAAGTCATCAGGTACATGAGGCAACCCACCAGCTCTGCGTAGGGGCCGCTGGGCTCTACCAACTCCTCAGACACTGGAGCGGAGAGTCTATGGTCTACAGGCAGAGGGGTGGGCTGTGCAGAGGAGAACTGAAGGCTGAACCTCTGAAGGACCTGGCGCACCAAGTGTGACTGAGTCAGGGTGATGGTGCGCGCAGCTCTGTCCCTGGAGATCTGCAAGCCAAGGTAACGGCGCAGTTCTCCAAGGTCAGTGCACGTGTGTCTCTTCAGCAGCTCTGCCTTCACGGAGGCCAGTGCGTCCCTGTCAGCTGTGGCAAAGACCAGGTCGTCGACGTAAACAAGGATGTAGAACGGAGTCTGGCCAGCACGAACGAAGAGTGAAGGGTCCGCGGAAGACGGAAAGAACTGCAGGTCAGCAAGCGTAGCACGGAGAGTGTCGTGCCACTCACGGGGAGCCTGGCGCAGGCCGTAGACGGAGCGCCGCAGGAGCCACTGGGTCCCAGGAGGGAAGGTGCCAGTGAAGCCCTGAGGGCGCCGCAGGTAGACCTGCTCGTGTAGGCTGCCCTGAAGGAAGGCAGTGGAGAAGTCGAGGGAGTGAAGCTCGTAGTCACGCTGAGCAGCTAGGTGTAACAGAACCCGAAGAGTAGTCATCTTCGGGGTCGGAGCGAAGGTCTGGAAGAAGTCCACCCCCTCGCGCTGACTGAAGCCTCTAGCGACATAGCGCGCCTTGAAGACAGGCGGCTCTCCAGGAGGG